TAGATTCCTCGACGCAAGAATTAAGCAACTTGTTAGATTGTAGCTCAAACAGAAGCTCTTACTGTTATCTTGCTTGGTTTAGTATAACAGTTTTTATGAAAAGTTATGGGTGAACCACATTGTAAAGAAGCAAAAAATAAGAGAAACCAGTGTGCATGCATGCATGCACATGCCAGTTGGAGAGGCAAATACTTCTGGTAAAAAAGATCGCCACTATTCAAAATAACAGGCAATACACCAAAAATCAATGGGAATATACTGTCATTCCACTACTAAATGACTTTTTTCTGTTTCTCATCAGGATCCAATCATAGGAGGCAGCTTGCTTTTGACATACACAACTGGCTATGTCGCCCCTCTACTTCTTGCTGCTTCTTTTGCTGGTGCACTGCAGGTACTTCTGTTTTTTTTTTTTCTTTTCTTTTTCCTGATAACTAGATAACTCATTTTTCTTGGAACAGAAGGAAAGTTGTGCAGATGATAACCAAATCACATTTTGATTAATTGCTGCTTTTCTGGTTTCTTTTGGATTACTGAAGAAATGGCTGCCCTCTTTAGATTTCTCTTACCATGTTCAGTTTTATATTTTAAAAAATTTCAGAGCTTGCTTTCATTCCGGAAGTTCTCAGCATGGATCAACCCAGCCAGGTATTCTTAATTAGTTTCTAGTTGAGCTTTTATCACAGGCTTTCTCATGAATGGGCTCTCTGTCCTTTTCATATTCATGATTGTTGATGTGTTGATAGGTCTATTAGTAATTAGAACCCTCATCCTATTTGTCACATAAGAATGCTTGTGTAACAATCATGAGTACACAAGGCAGTTGGTGTATCTCATTGTTTAATTTAATTGGTTTGACAGTGGTGCACTTCTTCTGGGAGGGGGAATCTATACGTTATTAGACAGGCTTTTCCCTGCTACAATGGCAATGTAGAAATATATTGTCTCTGAAAAGCCATTACCATACGATAGATAGAAAAAGAAACTGCGAAAGGTGACTAGAAGGGGACAAAGCGGAGCGCTATGACTCGATTTCTCTCTATATCCTATCATCTGGACGATCATGATACTGAAATTGCATTTGGTAGTCAGTAAACCATTCTGTTGTTGCCTTCTCATAACTTTGCTAAAAATTAAGCTTACTGTTGTAAAGTATTTTCTTAACATTATATAATCACAGAAATATTTTCTCTGGAAAAACAGTGATAGAATATATATTGCACTTCAAAAGAAAGTGGTTCTGGTTTTTTTTTTTTTTGCCTGCTGACGGTATATACCAGGCTTGATGATAGAATTGAACATCAGACCACTATCCTGTATCCAAGTTTCCAAGTTTCCAGATCCTTCTGGCAGTGAAACTGATGAAAAAGACGTGGCCAAAAGACTGGACAGCAGCTCAATTGCATGCTCTGGCCTATCCAGAGACTGCCACGTCGAGAACCAAGGTACTTACTTATTCAACTCATCCAGATCCTATAAAGTTTCTTGATCTACTCGGTTGCTTCACTGAGTTCATTGTATCCTCCTGACAAACATAACAACTCCCTTTTCTAAAAGGCCCTGACAGGCACACGCACACAGATCCAAGTGTAACTCGTTTGGCTGACGAGGGAAGCCCGTTATTTATTATCCATAGCTTTTTAAGAGCTTATCCCAAAAAAAACCGCTTTCGCAGCATTTGTTACCGGCAGTCATTGGACATGGAATCAGGTTAGGAAGGTCCTTTCCGGTGCATGAAAGTTATATTTTTATTTTAAAAAATATATTTATCATATTAATTTTATTTTAAAATATATATTTAAAAACTAATGATAAATTTAAAATTTTATATTTTAAGAATCAAACTAGGAATTTTAAACTTTTTTTTTTTTTTTTTTTTTTTTTTTTGGAATGCAACATATTTCCGCAGTTGTGCTTGAACTTACAATTTTCTCATTGTACATAAAAATTTAAAGTAGTTGTTGCACACACACGCTTGAATTACTTTAAATTTTAGGTACGATGTGAACATTTACTCATTACATTATAGAATTTCCGAAGTTTAACCAAAAAAAACTTACCAACTGTTAAAAATTTAGTTCGATCCAAAACTTGGTTATTGTTCTCGATAAAAATTGAATTCAAACTATCAAAAAGATATCTAGCTAAATAAACTGAGTTTAGAGTTTAAGATACACTTAAATGTTTGAATACTTATTTCTTTTTAACTAGTAATAAATTTTAATATATACCATGTAGTTTATTAAAATAAATATATAATTTGTTCTTTGGAATATATCATGTAACAGCTCAGAAATTAGATTCTGAATTTTATTTGTGAAATTCGGGAAGAAATTAAAAATATATATATGTATAATTAATTGAATTTAAAAACAATTTATTTGGAAATTAGAATGTTACTTTGAAAATTAAAATAAAATGAAAAAATATCTTTAAATATGTATATTAAAATTCATAATGAGTAGAATAAATTAAAATTTAAAAATAATTAAAATTTATAATTTAATTAAATTAAAAATAAAAAATTACAATAATAAAAATGACCAATCCAAATAAGAGTAAGCGCATCCGAGGTTGAAACATGGAAAAGTTATAGAAATGGGATAGGCGTGGCCACATGGATGGAAAGATTCCCTCCCACCCCATTCTATTTATCCCTTCCTCCATTATCTAAATACCAAACAAAATATTTTTTTTCAATAAGAGAATTTAAAGAAGAATGGGGAGGAGAAGGAGAGAAGTGAGGAAGCATTGGGACGATCGGCATGGCGGAGGGAAGAAGAAGATTGAGAGAGGACGCCACAGGTGGCTTAACTACCGTGTAACCACCCCTCTCACGTAGGTTCTTCTGCCGAACGATTCAAACGTGAGTGTTTTTTTTTTTTACTTTTTTTATTACTGTCTTCCTAAATAATTTAAAATAAATACATTTTAGGATTGATTGATTTTAAATGAAAATTTTGAACTTAAATAGAGAGATGGTGAGAGTAATTTGGTATGGTAAAAGAATAATAAAAATTAAGTTATACCTATATATATATATATATATATGTTTATCTAGGATCTAGGTAGTTTATAAATACGTATATATTTATGCATATGAGATATACATATATAAACTATTATGAATATGTGAAATATATTTATTTTCATGAATTTTGATGTAAATGTATGAAGGGAAACAAAAAAAAAAAAAAAATATATATATATATATATATATATAAATGTATATATATAGGTTATTGTGTATGTACATTTTTAATGTGTGTATATATAAATATATATATATATATATTCATATAACTATGTATGAATAAATGCATGTATGGGTATATATGATTAAAATAATATTTTGTATGCATGTGTAATCTTTATGTTATAATAAGTATTTATATATATAATAATAAAAAAAAATAATATTTTGATGACAATAATAAACTTTATAATTATAATCATAAATTTCTAATATAGTATAAGTTAAGAGTAGAAAAATATGATAAGTGAATAAATTTAGAAAAAAAAAATGTGTACTATAAATATATATATATATATATATATATATATATAAGTATGAATGGTGTATTTGTGTTCAATATAACAATATATATATAGGTATAGTTTATATATATAGAAATGAGTTTTAATAAAGATAAGTATGATTAACACAATATATAAACATTATGTTATAAAAATAAATAGTAATGGAGGGAGATTTTACATATATATATATATTAAGTAATGTTTTAAGTTTTATAATTATAATTACATAATTGTATCTTATAATATAAATAAATAATAATAATAATAAGAGATATGTATATATATATATATATGTACATAATAAATGAGTGTGTGTATAAAAGTACAAGCATATGTGTGTGTGTGTGTGTGTGTATATATATATGGGAGAAGAATAAATAGATTAAATTCAATTAAGAATTAGGTAAATTATGATAGTTAGGAGAGTTGAATTTAATTGAATACAAATTTAAGGAGAATTGAATTTAATTAAATAAATAATTCATAAGAATTAAATTTGATTGGATAAGTAATTGATAAGTAAATTCATTTAGCCATAATCTATATAAAGGTAATTTAAAATACTAAAAGAAATAAATTTTGAAAATCATTTGATTTAATAAAAATGTAAAGAAAATAATAAATTTTATTTTGAATATAATAAATGATGTAAGAAAATAAATTTAAAAAATAGAAAAAAATTATTTGTAATGATTTCTTTTAAAATTGAATGAATAATAGAAAAAATAAATTAAAAAATTATTAATTAATTAAAGCAGGATTAATATAAAATGATAAATATTTATTAAATTATGTAATTAATCAAATAGACAAAATAAAAAAAAAAGTTAAATTGAATGATCACTTTAGTAATTAGAATAGTTGTAGAAACAAGATAGACATGCAATATGATTACATGAAACTCTTGGGTTTATCGCTGATCCGAGAAAACTTAATTGTTGTGCATGTTTTTGTTAATATTCGAATGGTATTTAGAACTCAAATCTCTTTTAGCTCTCAAGTCTGTAAGTATATCTAGAAACTATCTCGAAACCATATTTGCATGTTTTCAAAAATATTTTTAAGCAAAAAACTAATTAAGTTTTGAGTAAGGTTTAGAAAATTAAGGAATCACGATTTGATAATCAAGTAAGTGCGAGAAATTAGAAAATGGTGATACGGAATGTTTTAATTTGTCATTTATTTGTTGTTTGATTGTTAAATGAAGGTTGTATATTTTAAATATTATATGATAATTGATGGTTGATTGTATGATGAGTTAAATAGTCTTACTAGAATATTAATAATAGTACATATTCACTAATAAGATCGTGAATATATAAAATAACTCTTATAAATAAAATAAGATCAACAAAAAGAAATATACATTTTTAAATAAAATTAGAGATTCTAAATAAAATTTAAAATTTAAAATAATACAAGCATTAAAATATAAATAATAAATAAAATAATAACTAAATAAATTACAATAAACAGGAAAGCGTAGGATTATGAGTTCTATAAAAATAGAAAAGAGACAAATTGAGATATTTAGAATAGTGTGAGATATAGGGCAAGTTTAACTAAAAAAGTGTATAAAGTTTATAGGGAATATAATTAATTTGTTATGAAAAATAAAAATATCAATCTTAATTAGAATATGAGAAAAAAAAAACAAAACAAAAACTTAGAAAAAATGAAAATTTAGAGTTAATCCGTTTAAAATTGGTATGACTGAAATTTAGCGGTGTAGTGAATCCCATCCTTGAATGGAAACCTTTTCATATGTGGTTGGGATGTGTGTTATGTTTTGGGTCACTTGACGCGGACTATTGTGACCATTGTGTGTGTTTTGGCTGTATGTGTGTTATGTTGTGATAGTGAGAATCTTGATCACACAATAGTACCAATTGGATAACGGATTTATTCGTTCAATTTCAAAGAAAATATTAAAACTTTAATAACTTTAAACTGATGATTGTGTTAGGGTAAATTGAAAATCGAGGATACCTACTGAAGGGTTACAGATGTCTCAATTTAGTCGAAAATTTGTAAAAAATTCTAATATATAGATTTGTGGGATAAATATGGATTAGAGAGAAACTAACGAATGAGTACGGTTTTAGAACTATATGTGATGTGATAATAGTGTACGATATGAGTGGTTACAATTAAGAAATTGAGAAAGAATAAAATTAGAGGAATAGTGAGAAAATAATAAAAAAGAAAAATTTTAAAAGATAACTAGTAAAAAGGAATAATGAGTAGAAAGTTTAGATAGAAGGAAGTTAGGGGAGAACAATGAAAAATGAGATATAGAAGATGAAATATTTTTGTATTTTATGATTTTGAAAGATAAAGTGAAAGAAAAATTTAATATTTTTAATTGACTGTATGTTAGTATGTTACATGTTTAAAGTGTAATCTATTTAAAATACTTAATAAGTCTGTTTTACTTATTTTATTTAAATTCTAATTATTTTTTAGATCAGACCAAAAAAAATAATTTATAAAACCAAATCAAAAATTTTATATTTTAATTTTTTTCTTACAAAATTTTAATCCAATTGTCTCTACAAAATTTTGTAACTTCTTAATATAAATATATTACATGTTGGACGAATAATTTTTATTATAATTTAATTTAAATTTATATTATATTTTCTAATTCAATCATGTTTGACAATGTAGTTTCTCGTTAGAAAAATGCAGGCCCGTTACGATATAATACATTTATATTATAAATTAAATATGTATAAGATATTAGTTCAATTTACGCCAGCTAAATTCAATAAAAATTCAAGCTTTATATTTATTTAAGCAAGTCAAATTCTAGAATTTCAAATTAAACTTGAAGTTGATAATTATTCAATATAAAAAGAAAATTCAGACTCAAAACTTGCATTCCTCCATAGTGTTAGGCTATTGCGCAATGAAAAATGTTCAATCAATTCAACTTCTTGTTCCCTTGAGTAAAATTACACAGAGAAAAACAGGCCCTTGAACCTGGTTTAAAGTACAAAAACCAGAAAACTTTCCCTCGAAGCAAAAAGATAATGTTGCTTGGGAGAAGGGCGTAGAAAAATTTAGGAAGATATCGTCTTCAAAATCATCGAAAAAAGAAAAAATTCTTTCAGGGAAACCAAGAAACAAAAAAAAAAAGAGACAAGCAAACAAATATCGGACAGCCATGCCCTGAGCGCGAAGGCGATTTTTCCTTACCGCTTCTTAGCTCCGTTGGAAGAGAAGGAACGGAAATATTAATGCCGAGACTGACAATAAGAGAACCCCGACTTGCACCGAGATCATCAAGGTCGCTCTTGAGTTCTAGAAAGCTCGTCTCAGACTCTCGCTTGCCAAAGAACTCGGACAGTAGCAACAGATACGTTGAGGAACTATTGAGTTTTGAGCCCCATGAAGCAAATCTAAAATTTCTAACAACTTCCTCCTTCCTAATAAATCCGTCCATGAACCACCTGTCGGTATTTATCCAAAGACTTCTTCCTCTCCAACCTCATTTCCTCGTTAAACTTCTTTATAAACGCCTCAACTCGCTTATTCAACTCGTCCTGACTCGGAGACGGCTCCCTCCTGATCCGCCCAGTTGCCGGACTACGCCTCGGCGAAGATTTCACGGTAGCGGAAGTGGCGTCAATAAACGTGTCGGATTTCATCATCCTCCGCGGTGGAGGAGGAGGAGGAGAGTCTTTGCCCGTCGAGGGGTGCACGTGCGAGTCCCACGTGTCGGACTTCCTTAGATGCCTCGTTAACGGCATCGAACGTCCTTCCGTTATCGCCTTCCATGTGCTCTCCAACGTGTCCTGCCGTTTCTGCTTCGCCGTCACTCGTAACGCCTTCCCGCCTGAACAAAACACGAAAAACAAATAACGAATTTGGAACTGTCAAAACACTTCTACATGTTCCAATTCGTATGCGCACCTTCGAGATTAGCTTTGACAGGTTTCCGTTGACCGAACCTCGAAGAAATCAGCGGTTTCTCTTCTCCGATAATCAGAGCAGAAAACTCCATGGAATCGCTCCTCAGTGGGGCCGCCACAGAGAATCTTCCTCCATCACCGTCTTCCTCCTCCTCCTCCTCCTCCACCTCCTTCGGATAAAAAACTTTAGCTCCGAGCTCTTCCTCAATCCTCCCAGTCCGATCATCCAGCGCCTTCGAAACGCCCACATCAAAGTAATTCGTCCTCGCTGGAGTATTTCCCGGAGACGGCGAGCTGTAAGGATCGTTAACGAAAGATCTGGAGTGGAGCTTGGAGGAAGCGGCAATGGTGATAATGATACAGTTGATTACGATATAAAGATAAGGAGGCCTCAGCAAACAGGCCACGGTGCTATAAATGAGAGGAATATCAGAGACGACGAAGTCCAATATCACTGGAGCAGCGATATTTAGCAGCACAGCCACTGACAACACTCCAGTAAATATCAGCGCCGCTTTTATAGTGTAAGCAGACAGAGGAATCGCCATTTTCGGAAGTTCAGCTCTGTGTACGTGTTGTGTTTGTTACAGCTCTTCCGGAGAGTACAGCAAGGGAGGAGATGAGATAAATAAAATAAAATGGAAATGCTCATTGCAGAGAATGTGGCGGGTCCGTTGCTCGTGATGGTGACTGTTCAGGAAAAAGTTAGAGTGGGGCCCAGCAGGTCTGCCACGTAGGTGAAGGATGGTTCAGATGTTGACACGTGGACGGGTGTGGTGCTCTGGGTTTTTCCACGTAGCGGAGGCAGATGCAACTGACTGCGTCACATAAGGTGAGATTTACCATTTTAATTTCTCGCACGAATTTAGACAGTATAAATTAAATAATTAAATAAAATTTATTCATTATAAATTATTAAAAAATTACTGCAACGTATAACGGTAAAATTATATAATATGAGAGTTCTGTATAACAACATAATAATTACGTATGCATGTATCTCGGGTGTGCGTTTATGGAAAGTCGGCATGGGAATAATGACAATCAATACTACTCCATTACAAACCAAAATAACGTGGTACGTACGACGTAGCGTGTATTAATAAATATATACAACCTCACTAGCTGTCTTCATTGCCTCAAGCACAAAGATAAATATGTAGATATAATATATATATATATATATATGTATATACAAACATATATTGAGCTTACCAAATGTAGTAGATGTTTCAAGAAGAAGTTACTTAATTTATTGTCGATTCTAATTGCTGTTTTAGGTTTAATTTACATAACTAAAACATATTTTGTATTTAAATCATCAGTAATTTGAATCATTTGATTGCAAAATTTAATTTCTAGTGTTTAATATATTAATGATATAATATATATATATATATATATCGTAATGTATATACACACATATTCAATGTATAATTAGTTATATATTCTAATCAAAACAAGATTTTATTAAAATACATAATTTGGCTATAGGACTTTTAATAATTTTTCTACCAAAATTTGGCAACGATGAGGAGCTGATCAACTTTTTCTAAAGAGATGACATATTTACAGTTGTAATTTACGTCTAGTTGTGTATAATTGAGTCTCTAATCCGGTGTTGCTTATCCATATATGAACTTATTATGGATATACCCATATATATATATGTATTTATATGTATGAATATATATATATATATATATATATAGTCCATTTTGATTTCAAGTTTTGCAAAATTGCGGCTTACATAGACTAAAACTAATTAAGTCATAAAACTCATTTAGCGAAAATTCCAAGTAATTTGG